GTACTAGCTACTATGGAGAAAATTAACTCTATCAGCCAAAACCAGCACGGCATAATAGATATTCTGTTGTATAAGATTTTTTTTAAAAGACTTCTGCAGTGTTATAAAGAACAAAAAAGGTTTTGCTTTTGCCTTACATGGTTCTTAATTCAGATCTTAATGTGAAAGGAAGCAGTTGAATTAGTTAGTTGCTTAGACTCTTCAGCCTAGATGGGGGGGGGTGTGTGGGGGGCAATCTGGGAAGCTTTCCGGAAAGAAATTGCCAAATAGTTGCTGTCTTGATGCAGTTTCATGTCAGTAAAATACCATGCTTGCCCTGGATGTATTCCCCTTCCTTATTTTCAGTCTTGTTTGTGTTTTCCCTATTGTTCAAGTCTTTTCTCAAAGCTTTGAATAACCAGACTTAACACATTTACAGACCTTCAAAGCATTTAAATACTACCTAAACCAACAGTTCTGAAACTTAACAAATCCCCTTTTTCTCTTCCTTCCCCTTTCTTCTGTTCTGTGATAGCCTAGATCTCTCCTACAGCTTTCCCACGCTCACCTGTGCTCTCTAGCCTACTCCAGCCTTCCCCACCAGCCTCTGCCCTTAAGGCATAGCAAGTCGTATGGCCTATTTATCTCTAAAAGATATTTGTACCTTGATCTCCACCAAAACCTAGTCCTGGTCCCATCTTTACTCTGTGCTCTTCAAATCTGCACCCCCAGGCTCTAGGATGGACTCGTTGCTCTCCTTCTTTGTTATACCTCTGCAATGTAACCTCGCACAACTTCTGCAACTCCTCCTCTGCCCAAAATCTCCTCACTGCAGGTTCTCGTGCTGTTTGGTGCCTTCACATTCCCAAGCCCCTGCGCTGCCCTGGAAGAATCGCCTTTCTCCCCCAAGCCTCCAACTCCACTTTGTCTAGTTATTGCTAATGATCCTGGATTTTTCTCAGGGAGAGAGGGCAACAGCTGTGCTTAATGCTGGTTTAGACAATCCCATCCTAGATTAGACTCCTAAAGAGCCATCAAACAGCTCCTTGCAACAGCTTTGCCTTCTTGACATGGTGATTGTTTAGACCAGTTTGATGCAGCTGATGCCCTTTGCATTTAGGGTGAAAGCATTTCTGGGTCGTGTTTGGCCTGAATCAGCAGATCTGGCCATTCCAGCTCAAGCGCATCAGGCATACAAGTTTTTGCTGAACTTCTTAGGTGGGTCTGTTAGGAACATCTGGAGTAGAAGCCCACTTTGCTGGCTGTTTGCTTGGTGTGGCTGCTTTTACAGTGTCTTGTGGGTTCCAGCTCAACACTGGGCTGGGGAGGAGAAAGGAGCAGCTGGTCAGTGCCACGTCTGTGCTGTGTTCCCGTCTAAGCCACAGCCTCTGGCTGGTTCTCTTCTGACCATCCCAGAGGCTCAAACACCCTTCAGTTGCTACCAGAGATGAGAGCAATGTCAGGGTGAAGGAAGAGAGAAGAGAAAAAACTGGGATTATTTTTCATTATGTCTCTTCGCACCCTCTTCTCCCCCAATCTGAAAACAGCTGATATCTCAAAGCATAATACTACCATTATATTAGAAAAAATTCAGAAATGGGAAAATGGAGAAACAAACTAAGTAATTTGTCCAGGTCGTAAAAAGAGTCTGTGTGACAGCATGGATTAGAAATAGGGAATTCCTGGCTTCCAAGCCGGAGTTCATACCTCTTGATGTTGCATTTTTCTCTCTTTCTGGAGGGAGTACATCTGGCTTGTGATCAGGAAGAGGTGTGTTTTTTCAGGAATATTTTTTTCCATTTTCTTCATTCTGCTTTTCTTCATTCTGCTTTTCTCTACCAAGCTGAACTCTTCAGGGAAAGTGTATATAATGCCATGGGGATGAAAAGTCACTTGATACCAAACCTTCCTGAGTGGTGTATTGGCTCAAAAGGAGATACCACCTTGGCAAAGATAATTTTATTTGGACAAAGTAACAATTGTCCCTGTGTTTTAAAATTTGATTAAAATGTTTAAGAGGTTTCCAGTATGGCATGTACTTGATTTTTGTTTAGAAGTGAAAGTGCTAAGAGTAGGCATTTTTCTTAAAATTTCCAAACATGCAATTCTTATCCAGAGCCCTAATTTTACAGATTCAGGAAATATGGGAGTTAATAAAATGCATATGGAAATTGAATTTCCAGGTTTCCACTTCATTAATACTAATCTTGTAATCTCTGTTGAAGTACTGAAGCTATGAAATCAATATTGCTGATTGGGTAGAGTGTAAAAAAAAAAACAAAAACAAAACCCCCAACAAAAAACACAAAACCCAAAAAAAATCCCCCCCCCAAAAACCCTCCAAGAACTTTAATTATGAGGAGGAAGAGAGAGGCATCCAACAAAATGTTTTTTCTTGTGTTTTTTTTCTTTTTTTTTTTTTTTATTTAAATTTATTCACTT